CAACCATCCATGGTCATACTGTCCCCCCTCTACACACATCTACATATACACACATGTATAAGCATGTAATAGATATGCCTTCCCTATCAAATATGATTATATATTATTTATGCACTTTATTAGTGCCTTCCATATGCATTCCAGCTCAAAATGTGAAAACTTACAAAAAATATTGACACGCAACACTCTTTATCTAATGGTCAATCCTTGATTGTGGCAGATAATGGAGAGGGAGCGGAATAAACATCACAACATTTTGAAAAAAGAAAATTTTGAGCTTACTACCTCCTTTTAGCAGGGTGGTTCTGCAATATTATGTCGAGTGATTTGTCTGTCATCTATTTCCTGAACTTGGGAGGTGTAAGAGTGCTTATTTCCGGGGGGGAAGGAATGGTTCAAACAGCAGTCATTTGGGAGAAAAGGAGTAAAAAGTGGCCGGAATAATCTATAAACTGACCAGTTAGTCTCTGAATAAATCAAGAGGTGGCTGTTCATTAAGAAATTAGAAGTGTCATTTCCAACTTGTGATTTCTGCAAACATTGGATTCTACCCAAGCTGAATTTATAAACAGTTAACGAAGCCAGAATTAAGTGGAGGCCTGACGAAATGTCACCTATTCTTAATCACTTCCAAATTTCAGGAGCAGAGTAAGATGTTGGTTGGGACATGACAACTTTCTAACCTCTGTGTATTGGTAAGATACTAGCCAGAAAAACTCAGAATTATGTTGAAAGAAAAGCCCATTAACAAAAGAAGAAAAGAAAGAATGTATTTATGCTACAAAGTTAAACATCACACTGAGCTTTTCTGAAACACTCTGGAACTTAAAAAAGCAAGCATACAAAATGTATTTTGAAGCTTTTAAGAGTAGGTTAATATGTTCCATGTGCCATTTTTATTTTCAAAGAATACTGTGAGAAATAAGCTATCGTTAAAAGTACTTGTGAAACTTGTAAATATCTCCACATCTTTTCATTCAATTTTTAAAAATACAAATTAATTCAGCGCTACAAGTTTTAAGAGAAAACATCTTTTTTTTTTTAAACCAAAGTTGCCAGAAACATACCACACTATTTGTGATAAACATTTGTTTCATGGAAGAAGCCAAGTCTAATCATAGGAAAATGAGCGGTTATGGAGGGAGAAGCTGCAGCTTCAGTAGGGAAAAGGCTACAGCAGGAAACACTTGTCATCCCACGCCCCCTACCATCAGACCACCAGAAACACAATTACATGTCTGGGAGCCTTGCTGCTTTTAAGAGTTTCATGAAGAAGTTTTCATAAATCCCTGGTAAATTTGTGACCGGGCATATGAATAGAACAAAGATACAAAAAAATGAAATCACTACATACTAAACTCAAGAAATCCTAGGAATACCATAATAAAGTCATGATGTCTATCCACTTTTCAGTAATTCACCCTGAAATGTGATTTACAACCAACCCCCCAAATAAAACAAATTGAATAACCCAGTTTACCAATCAAATAAATCATAAGAGGGCCCAAGACAGAGATTTAGGCTATAGGGGTTAACAGTAGCTGATAATGACTGTTTTCAAAAAGGACTGGAGAGTGAGAAGGCCAATGAGTTATGACTGTTACCACGTAGACAAAACACGAGTTGTCAATCAGCTTTCCAAAACATTGGCATGTGTCTCCCCTCTATAAGAAATCCATTCACACTATTGTGTTTGTGCCTTACTTTCCAATATATTGCTGCCAGGCCCCAGCAGTCACTATCAAGTGCATTTCTATTGTCTGGTTTTGTTTTCTAAATAAGCAGACAAAAGACCCGTACGTGGCTAGTGTTGTTTATGATGGTCTCCCCTTAAGAAGTTTTATCTGATATTCTCATCTCTAGTCCTCTGGCCATATTTTGAAATAAAGCATAAAGTTAAATGATATATTTGCTCTCTATTCTAGACTGGATGCAATTGATTTTAACTGACTAAATTATCTGATCTCTGCCAAGAATTTTATTTCATTAAGAAAATGATATTATAGAGCATCTGAGATCATAGAGCAGACTAAACATAATGCCAAAGGAGTTCTGAGAATGCTCCACAGTGAAGGTTTGATTATTTGCAGATGGAATATGAAAAAAAGGAAAAGAATCAGATCCCAGGCATTAGCCTAACCAATCCTGATATCACTGCTGCCGACATCACAGCACAAAGTCAAGAAAATAACTGATCTTCTAAGTCACAGCACCTTTTTTTACGGTACTAATCACTTTTCTTCCTAGAAAGTAATACTTCACTGCCACCATCCAAAACAAAGGGAAAGGGGGAAATGTTGGTACCACAATAGGCTCCAGCATGTCAACTGTCACTACTGACAAGATTTGGCTAGTACTCAAGCATTCACCAAGGAACTAATTTAAATCAATCTCCTTTGGGAAAGCCAATTGTTTGGTATGTGCAACAATTGGTGTATGATCAATCAGCGGGCATGAGATCAATTAAAACCAGCTTAAGCCTGTGAAGAGGGACAATTCACACAACCTGAGTTAGATCTCTATTCATTTCAATACTCTCAATGCAATCCTTAGGCTTCCCTGCAAAGCAGAAAAGCTACTATCACCCTACACTGTCTCGCCAGCCCTTTAAGTAGTTCCACTTTTAATTAAAAACACAGTACGCCTTTTGTTGGCACAGATAGTGTGGTCACTTTTAAGGACCAAAGTTATTTTAGCCAGCAGCTTCAGGTTTTGGAAGGGACATCTGTTAAGCGAAACACACACACACATACACACTTTGATTTTTTTTTTCCTTTACAACCTTACTAGTTTATATGTAGTTTGAAAGCATTTGAATTTTATTAAATTGAAAGGTTTGTCTGCCAACAGTTACTACAGTGGCAAAAGTTGCACACTTTAGAATTGGGTTTCTAAACGTCAGCACTTGGGGATGTAGCAGTAATTGCCCTGAGATTTTGCTAAAGCAGCTTTGAAACAAATAGGTTTTGCATCAGATACTTAAGGAGGCATAGGCAGAACTTTGGAGATGGCACTGCAAATAAAAGCATGCAGTATCGCTTCTGGCCGCAGGGGTGCTGTAAAGCCATGCTCCACCAAAGAGCATCTATGTGTTAAGTTCTACTAAAGCAACAAGCTCGATTCCTCCCCATTCAGCCACAATCCAACAAGCAGTGTGGATCAGAAAGACATCGCTGAATTAGCAAGTCATTTAATAAACAAGAATTTGGCAAGGGGTTTTAGCTCTTTCTGTATGTTGAACATTAGTCTTTTCAATCAAATAGACTGCAACCTCTATTTATAAGGAGGAGGGTGGGGGGAACCTCTCCAAACACTTTGACCACAGTGTAATCAAAACTTGCCAGCTCTACCAAGTGATACCTGGAAAGAAAATACTGGGGTGGAGAAAGGAAAGGGGAGGTGAAGGAGATGGAAAGGGACTTTTACAAGACATAACAATATCAAACTTTCACAGCCTCTGGCAAGAAATTCCTCCCTAATGTATTTATTCAGAAAAACTTGTGAAGATAAGCATTTTCGAAATGTCAGAAATGAGAGACCCAGAGTAAGAGAACCCGGGGTTGGAGAAAGGGGTGTCCTTTTTAAGCACAGCTCCGTGGTGTCAATTGCAGAGCGGAGATGGGGGCGGCGGAAATCGCACACGACCAGCTGTCCTGGGCTCTGCCCTCAGGCCGGCCAACCTTCAGCCCTGCGGGTAGGTGAGAACAGCTTAACGACGTCCTAAAAAGCTTTGAAAAAATAAGGGCGCAAAAGCTTTCTCCAAAATCTGGATGCAGGACTGGAGGTTCCATAAAAAGAGTCAGAAACAACCCACATCACAGGTCGAGCGAGACGTTCATATCCTAGAAAAACCCACATCTGTCAACCTCAGGACAAATTCTAACTGCGCAGAAGTCCAAACTGCTAGAGAAAGATGGATAAGCTCTGGGGAGCTGCTGTCCCCCTTCCGCGAGGCAGTAGCGCAAGGTGACCGTGTGTGTTGGCGGTGGGAGTGTTGTGGTTTGTGCTTCAATCCTTAAGAAGACTTAACTGTGTTTAGCAGCCCTTCCCCTAAAATGAAGTTAGATTAGCTGCAGCCGCAGCAGGACTCCAACCGGGCGCACTAAATCTTCGGGGAAGCTAGCTCTCTGAAACCATTCTGGAGGCTTCCACTGGCCTTCCGGCAGCTCACACAGGTGATGGAGAGGGAGGGGCGGCTAAAAAGCCACACGTGAGTGTCACCGAGGCCAGGAACCTCAGAAATAGCTGCTTGTGAGGGAAGTAAACACAGAGGGCAAAGTCGGGCCTGTCCCCAAAACATCATTCTGCCAGCGAGCGTTCCCCCCAAAACAACCTACGCACGAATTGCTGCCCAGTGTACCAAGTTCAGGGCGTCCTCCCACCTCGTCTTAGGGTCCAGAGGAAGACAGCATTGCTCTTTCCCTGGAAATGCGGATCCTCCACGACGATTTGGTACCCCTTCCCAGCCCTCTCGCTCGCACTTTCTGGCCCACACGCGCGCATAGACACACACAGACACACACACACACAGTTGTAGGTAGGCCGTGTCGAAAACCATCTGGGGACAGGGTTTGGGGCGCACCACGTGGGTGGCGAAGATAGAGAAAAATGAGCTGCAGGAGAGATAGTTGAGAGGACTCAAAAGAGAAAAAGACAAAAAAAAAAAAAAAAAAAGAACAAGGGGGGAAGAAAAAGGATGCCAGATTTTAAAAAAAAAGAGAGAGAGACCTAAAGAGAAGAGTTCAGAAGTAGAAGCTCGACAGCTAACGTGGGTGCGGACCGCACCTCTCAGCCCGGAGCGCCCGCAGGACGCCCGGCTCACCCGGCTCGCCGCGCCTCCTGAGGACAGAAAAGACCGAGCTCTCGGCAGCGCCCCGGGGCCCGGAAAGTGAGGAGCCCAAAGGCCCGGTGGAGGGCACGGCCCTGCCCACCTGAGCCCCGGTGCGAGTGACGCCGCCCGCGCCCCCGACCCCACGCGGCTCCGGCAGAGCAGAACTCACCTCGCTTACTGCGTCTCCATCGATTGCCTTGGCAGTGGCTGTAATCCATACAGTTCAGGATGATGAGGGCAAAGGAGAAGAGGCGAAACTGCATCTGGGCGGTCGGGCGGGGGAGAGACGCCTCTCACAGTCGGGGAACTGGAGGGCTCATCCGAGGAGCCGGCGCAGACCGCGCTGCTGGGGAAGACGCCGACGGGGGAGCCTCCACTAGCCAGCGGGGCCGCGCGGGTCAGTTCGGCATCTCTCCGCCTTGAACCTGAGAGACGAAGAGGAGAAGCCGGGTGGAGAGAGGCCCAGGGAGGCAGCTGCCTCTTCACGCGTCCCAATTTAAGAAAGGAAGGGAGGGGGAAAGAGAACCCACTGCCTGGCGCGAGCCGCGGAGCGGCTTAACCCGGAGCGCACAGCTGCAGGCAACTTGGAGAGCAAGGTGATTACAATCAGTGAATTAGCAACCTCTGCGGACCTACAGGCTCCGACCCCGGGGAAGGGACGTTGCGCGGGCGCTTCAGGAAAAGAAAAGAGCTCCACGGTCCCCGAGGGTGCAGGGTTTAAGGCGCGCTCTTAGGTCCTTTGGTCCAGCAGTGGGGTACCCAAACGCTGTGGCCGCGGTGGCGGGCGCGGGTCGCCTACCGTGAGCACTTACGTCTCAGGCTGCGCGGCGTGCCTAGGCGCGGCGCTCCATCCCGGGATCGCGAAGCGAGACACCTCGCTAGCACGTGGGCTGGGGAAAAGTTTGCCGAGACCCGCAGGGAGCGCGTGGCAGCTCTGGGTGCGGGCGGCCGCGAAGGGTTCGAAGCGCGCTGGGGTTCCTCCGGACTGACCGCGCCTAGCAGGAGCGCGGCTGGGCGGGCGGGTCCGCAGCCTCTGGGATGCTGCGTCCCCGCCGGTGAGTGCGATCCGCCGGTGAGTGCGATCCTCCGGCGAGGGGCACGCCCTCTGTCACTCTCTGGATCCGTATCCAATTGTGCAACCGCACAGAGCTTTCTCCACAGCCACTTTTCAGCTAAGGGTTCTCTCTTTCAAGCTGTGGGAGACAGAACGCTCCTGAGAGGGTGAAGGGATGGCGAGCGCACTTTCCGATGGAGATGCAGCCGGGCCCAGGCTCGGGATGCTTCTATAAGTAGGTGGTGCTGTGGTCCAAGGCAACTAAGTCAGAGCTGCCTTGGAGTTCCTGGGTCCTAAAGCCAGAATCTCTCGGGTTTCCCTGAGGTCCTAAAGAGCGCTGACAGCCTCCCAGAGAGCCTAACCCCAGGCGAGTCCCTTCTGCGCTTTCCCGGAGTAGGTAGCTAAACTGAAGAGTGGCTGAGATGAAGGCGCACCCCCAGACTGTGCCGGCCCTACAGCCTAGCTGTCCTCCCCCCGGGGCGTCTGCTCTGGTGCTCCAGGGACGGTTCCAACCTCAGCGCCGAACTCCGTGCGGGAAGCCTTGACTGATGGCTTCTCCTAGACCTTCCTTTCCGAACTCAGAGCCGGGACTGCCGTTTCTAAAGCGGAGTTTAAACCTGAGCCTCATCCCGAAAGATGCCACACCTCTGATACTCTTACATTTATGTCTTGGCTTTGTTTTATAGGAAGATGTCTTAGCACAGCTGAATCTAAAACGCGTCCTCGGTTTAGGGAGGGAAAGGGGTGTTCCAATCCTTTGCTTATCCTTAGAAATCTTCTTTCTTGACTTTGTGTCTCCTCCAGAAAAACTTCCAAAAACCTTTGATCCCTTGCTTTCAGTATTCTAGAAATTAGGGCCTTGCTTCTTCAAAGAGAAGTTCAGTTCTTACTGAAACACTCCTTATTCATAATCCTCCTCCCTCCCCCACCCTCGCAGTCTCCTGAATTGAACTTTTAGGTGCCTCGAGTTTAGGGAATACTCTGTTTAACGAAGTGCTACATACTCTCGATGCTATTCTATTTCATTCTGGTGAAATCTTAGGTTCTGAAGTCATTACTGTAGGAATGAATTTACTGCCTAGGCAAAAGATAAGAATTTATACTGCTAACCAGGGGTTTAGGAATGTTTGCAAATATGACCACAAGTACCATATTATTATGCTAGCATTTTGTACCATTTAAATTTCTCTATGCCTTCAGTTTAAGATGTTCAGAAGTTTGGAGATTTGAAACAATCATATAGAAACAATAAGACAATTAAAATAGCACATTTATTAATTGATCCATTAATACCTATCTGTAACTATTTTTATAGACATTACTATTTACATAGAAGCATTTATGTGGCTAAGAATTTTAGTGTTATTCATTTTATGTATGTCTGAGAACATCCAAGTCAATCTGAGTTGAAGTCCCTGGTCCCATTTCCCAGATAAGAAAATTCAGCCCCAAGACTGGCCCATAGGGCACAAACAGAGTTAAGCACATAATGGCTAAAGCGGATTTGTTTCTTAGCTTTCAGAACCTTTGGTTTTTGTCACAGAATTTGGAAGTGATTGGAAACATTTCAGTTTAGGGAGTGGCCCAGTATTTGGCATGATATTGCAGTGACTACCCCCCAAGTATCATAAATACCATTTCTCCCACAGACTCACACATACACACACCAAATTCATTGCACTTCCAAAGGAATTCAATCCATGACACAACAAACTCCTCTCTAAATAAACCCTCTGCCTTTATAGCCTTGGGATCCATTCAAGATTAGAGATCATCAATGTCTTTTAAAATATTTAAAGACAAAAGTAAGTACAAGACCAAGTAGATATAGCTCCACGTGGGTTGTTTTACACACATCTCTCAATCTTTTTCCTTGTCAGTACTTTTAGGTAATTAGGACAAGATCTCTTTCACCCCTACCATGTTCTGATTTACAATCAATTTTCTATTTCTATCAAGAAGTGAGTCCAACAGTGTGAGGACAAACTCATAATTGATGAGTTTTCATTGTAGAAAGATGAGAATTAGCCACTGTCATCCTTAAATTTACAGACCACTTTCAATCTTCTGTCTTCAAAGGTTACTTTCCAAAATTTTAATCATTTGGATTGCACTGTTGGCATTTTTTTAAACCAGAGATACTTTTCAGCTTAGTGAACTCCTAAATCCATTTCACACACAAAAAAGAATTTTAATAGTATCACTTCTGCTGAATATTGGTTAACGCTGTTAATAAGACAAGAATGGACCCTGGAAGCAAAGAAGAGTCCTAATTCCTAATTCCTTTCTCCATGTGCTCTCTCCTGGTCTGTCTCTGCTTTTTAAAGGACACCAAGGAACTTCAAAAATCTTTCACACTTTGTTCTTAGGGTACTTAGGATCTCACACTTAAGCTCTTTGGACTAGTTTGTTGATAAAGCAGAATTTTTTTTTCCCTTTTTTTGCCATTCACTGAATATTTTTCCTGATTTCAAGAACCCAGGAATGTTTTTGCTACTAAAAAGTACACCCCTAGCAGATCCTAAACTATCATTAACTTTAATCCCATATTTCTGCATCCTTTCATTTCTAAACTGTGAAAGTGTTGTTGATGAGGCTCAGTGCTCAGAATTTCTCCATCGTAGAGACTCAATGGACTTTTTCTTTAAACTGAGTTTAGATGGTGGTTTCATTAAACTCGCTTTATAAACAGACATGTGTTTGGTGTCTGTTTACAGAGAAGCGTACTGAGGAGGTTGACATCATACCACTCACTGGTGATAGAGAAGGTTAACCGAGTGTGAGGGAATGCCTTCCACAGAGATTCTATCCAATTACAGTGTATGAAAGTGCCCATCTCCCTATAAACCAGCCAATGTGTTTTGATCTTTAGCACTCCTAGGCAGAATGTGATATATCAATGGTTTTAATTTTTTCTTTTAAATGAAATTATGCACCTTTAACATGCTTAGGCAATTTATATTTCCTTTTTCATCAACTTTCCAAAGATATTATTTACCTCTTTTTCTGGTCTTGCTCACTTAATTTTATTTTGTACAATATACTATAGATATATATAAACATATTATCTCTTGCTATTTGGGTTGCAAATGTTTTTTCCAGTTTTATCATTTGTCTCTTTACTTAAATTTTAAAAATAACTTTATGTAAAATTTGTCAGTCTTATCTTTTTAATTTCTTTGTGTTACTCTTGTAAAAAGCTCTTCTTCATGCCATTCTTTTTGGTTTTTATTTGGGAGTTTTCTAAGACACTTTTTTCAATGTTAAAAACTGTAAGATGATAGTGGTTTCATGACTGTATGATGTGGCTACATTAGAATAGAGTTTACATTTTCTAAATTTCCACTAAGTATTTGTGTTCACAGATTTGGTTGATTTTGGCTCTGACTCTGATTTTCATCATCTAATTGATTGAGAGTCTTATCTTTTCTGTTATCAGATATTCATATTCTCAGAGTTAAAGTTTCCCACAATCTTCTTATTGATTGTTGAAATTAGTTGGTGTCTTGCTTACTTTTCCACTCTAGAATTTATCCGTTATTAACTTTGGAACAAATTATGGCATTTTTGCCATTGTATTAATATCGATAGTATATTTTTTTTCTGTTAAATACACTCTGAATGTCCGTTTTGCTAGTTACATGTGATAGCCTACGTTCATTTATTATATTTTGTATGAGGTAATTAAATTAATTAATACAAAAGATCTTCAACCAGGTCACTGACCAGTTCTTATCCAGGCTAATTTGTTGTTTTTAAAAGCCACATCATAATCACTTATTTAACTTTTGAAAAATGTGTAAATATTTGACTCCTCCAAATATTAATACTATGTCCTGCCACTTGAGAACTCTTCTGTAGACTGATGTGATAAGGCCCATTTCTTATTTTGTTTTCCATACTCATGGAAGAGATCCAGGAGGCTCTCTTCAAAGGAAGTCTAACTTAGACCAGCTTATAAAGAAAAAAACACAAGATTTGACCTGAAGTTTTAAAATTATTCCCTTTATTTAATCTCGTGCACTCTGAACTCTTTTGAACTAAAATAGTGTCATTTCCATTCTTTTTTTGTGTGAATGTGGTTGCTGGAAGGAAGTGTTACTACACTTGGTTAATAACAAGAGATAAAGATTCTCAGCTATTTTAAGAATGAGACAGTTTTCATTAATAGAAAAGAATGTCTCTTTTTGCTGTTTGTGGACATTCAAC